CAACTCATACTGATAATTCAATAGCTCTGTTAGCACCAGATTTGAAGAACACAAAACCCAAGAAAAGATCCTGCCATCAAACATTACTATTAATTCTGTTTCGCTATCTGTGAACCTACTTGAGGTAATGAGAAAACTGAATGCTTTTATGGTTATGTTATCTCAGGGTATTAAGAGTTATAACTTCCTCAGAGGGATGAGAGTAAAAATTTGTTCATTATTATACACATTGGCAACAGTCCATCAGGATTAACAGCATTCTGCAGCAAAGGCAATGCAATTTAGAATACGTAACTCAAATTTATCACTTTGATTGCAAACACATTAGACCTGCTTTAAAAATAAAGCAGATGTGCAGCCTCACCTCACTGTGGTGCAATCCTAGGGCAAGAGGGATTAAAAGACAAAAATATCAAAATGTGTCACTGTATGCTCAAAATATAGACACTACCACTTTCAGAAGACCTTCTGTACAAGTATCAATAAAACACACAATACTCTGCTTTGAAGATCCCACAAGTGAAACGCTGCCTGTCAAGTCACTAACTACAGGCAATCACAGACCTTTGCACGCAAGTGGAGATTCTCATATCAAAGCATAGAAAACCCAACACATTTTTGTTGTTTTTTTTTGAGTAGCAGCTTTGCTGTAGTTACAACTACCACTAGACTCACATAACTCTTCTCAAACCTGCATTTAGCCTTGAAGTTTTCGGCTTCTGCTGAAAACCTGAGGGAAGGCTGCTGTGTCCAAAACTGCATTAAATTATACAGTTGGTCTACCAAGACAGATTGGCCCTACTTAGAACACTTGGCTTGCCTTCACTTTCTTTTAAGGAAAAGTTTACTACCACACCAACTACTTCACAGGTACAGTGCTGGCCTTTATACTGGGCAAAAGGCACTGGGTTCAAGACTGCCTCCACAGTTCTAGGCAAACACCTGTAGCAGGATGCCAAATACTAAAGAATTTAAGCTTATTACTCTCATCCCTCTGAGAAGGGAATCCTGTGAGCTGTCCTTCCTTCAAGTTTTCTATCAGAACACACTGTAAATAAAGATCCCAAAGGACAATGCTTTTACCATGTATGTTTATAGTGTAGTTGATAAGCAGAACTTTATATAAAAGTAGATCCACATCTCGGGGTTGTAGAGATCAGAACAGATCAACTTCCAGTTACTGACAGTAAATAACTTAGATTCTTTTTCGTATCTCAGGATTTGAAAATACCAAACACCTCAAGACTGCTATTTAATACTTTCCTTACTTGTCACCTAGCTATGGGATGTGACCACACAGATCCAGGATGCAATCCAAGGGCAGAAACAAAGGCAACAATCAGGATTAGTACACCCATGAAGCTTTCACAATTCATTGTACCGTTGTCAGACACAAGAAACTGGGAGAATCACTTGGTTTTCTTTACATCCATGAAAAAAATCAAATGTAAGAAAGTAATTTTGACTACAATGAGGAACACAATCTGTCCTCTTGAAGATGAAAGTATTTCTCAAGGGCCTTCAAGACATAAGAGGATCTCTTGTGAGCAGAAAACTGAGAACCAACAAAAAAAGACACCTTAGCTAAGCAGGTGTGGTAGAGAACAGGGATTTTAGGAAGGGAAGGTGTCTCACCCCTAAGTCTAGTCATCCTTCTTATGCTGAAAAGATACTACATACACTGAGCAACATGTATGACTTAACAGACTGGGTTAAAATTTGAGGGTCTGAATCTTGAAAGAAACATCTGTACAATGAAGAGACAGGACAAGCTCCTGTTGCATGAAAACAGCAAACCTCTAGGAGAGGTGCTAACAAAATCCTCCTTCATAATAGGTCCTTTAACCCAGGATTTCTTCCTGCTCTTGCTTTGTAATATGAATCACAAGTCTTTGAACAAGTAAACCCTTAACAGAAAGTTCATTTTGAGTGCCTCCAATTACATGTACCTTTCCCAACTATACCCAGCAAAACAGTCTCTGATCTGCTGGACAGAGCAAATACATAATTAAATAATCTTAGCTTCAACTGTATTCATTTCTCAATATTGCCACTTTTGGGAACTGGAATACTGAGCTGACATTCTGCAAGACATTTTTCCCCTGAAAAGTGACTCGCTAGAGGGATGACACACACAAAGTAAGGAAAAAGAGACAAGTTTGTTTTCTATTTCATGCTTAGAAAGAACCTTAGAAGCTTATGGTTAGGTTCAATTAATGTTTCCTAGTCACTGATCCAACTACGGAATTCTGAATGAAGGGGGGAAGGATGGGAAAAGGACATAATGTTATTGATACTGTAAACACCTAGACCATTTCTAAACCAAATCCAAGACTACATCAAGTCAACTTCCTCAAGAATTTCTCTCCCTTTCTAAAGATCTTTTATTGCCTGGAGTCCAGAGAATTGTATCAGCTGTAGCTTCTGAAGCACACTTTTGTTTCCATTTAAGTATGTTAAAATACTGATGTCTTGGTAATATCTCCAGACAGCACCTGAACCAAGCACAAGTACTTTTCTGTTCTTGAAGAAAAAATCACTAGAATTTCATGATGGAGTTGCACAGCAAAAATGCAGTCAAATAGTGGCTTCCTGTTGTTTCTGTTTCTATTGAGAAAGGTAACATATATATTTTATCACCCTACATACAACTGCCAGCACACTATAGATATATAGGAGCAATACTTACTACTATGTAAAATGGTTTCTTACTGTAATATGGGCTAATCATAAGGAGCTTACCTTCTGCTGGGATGATACTGGTGGCGTAGTCATCAAAGGTTTGAGTGGAACAGTGTTAGTCTGCGGCGTGCTTATCCTGGGAGACACGTATGATCTTGGTGATGAGGCATCAGATGTTAAAGACATTGGAGATTGATTAGATGGCTGAGCTGGAAAGGAAAAAAACCTGGTTTTAGTAAAAGCATATCTTATCTTAAATGTGAATTAGATTTACTTTTGGCACTCTGCAATAGTAACATACAAATATGTTCACCTTTACATGGCTGGGGGGTAAACAACTGGAATAATCCTAGCTAAAGAATTATATTTTCCCTAAATTCTCCAGCTCTAAAACTTCAGAGGAGGGGGGAAGAGAGAAGAAGCTACTAGGTAATCTTTTTACACATGAAGAAAAAACTAAGCTGGTTTCACTTGTGACTCCTATTTTGGGGAGCTCAATTTGATTTAACTGAAAGAATACATTAACAGTTTATCTAGAAACCTATTCACCCATTCTAGGCCTCTACCAAGAGTTCCCCACCCATGCTTTAATTACTGGTTAAAAATTAGCATTAGTACAATACTGCCCACCTACTCAATAAGATGACTGCATTTGTTGTTTTCACTATGAGTTCCTAGTTTTATGAAGCTACTGACCAGAACATATTGAAGATATTTGAAAGAGTATCTTGCCTGGAAGCTGAAAGCATTCCCTACCACACAGAAAAAACTTTTATTTTAACAATATAAAGGCCTCCCCCAAGAGTCACAGTGGCACAATATTACAAGAGGAGTGTTCAACCCAGGATGAGTTGTGTTTTATACTGAACATTACATAATATCTAATTAAAGTCCAGAATAAACAAAGAGGGTCTCGTACATGTTTCACATTACTCATATAGAGTAGAAAGAAAATCCCAGAAGACAAAGAAACATATTTACTTAGTTGTGTATCAGCCTCCTGCTCCCCAGGTAACCATATTTTATCCTATCTTTGGAAAAAGAAGTCATTCAACATCCTCCACACCGTGTGGCCAAACGTAGGACAAGAGAAAGCATCTACAAATGTCAATTGTATCAGCCTTTATAAAATGCAACGTAACAATTTTATGTAAGTGAAAAGAAGACTCTGAATACCTTGCGTAGACAGTTGTGCAGCTTGAGAAATTAGGGAGGTGATATTGAAAGCAGATGGTCCAGCAGTAAGAATTTTATGGAGTATAGACTGCAGAGAGGCTTGTGTCACAGCTGCTGTTAGAACTGAAAACAAACATTCTGTTTTACTGACAATTCTAGAACATCACTTTAAACTGCTCAAACTGGCTAATTACATTTAAGCCACACTGGCTTTCACATTTTGTTCCCGTATCTACAACAGACCAAAGATTCACCTGAACTATTTTTCAGTGACTTGGATTCAAGTTAACTTGGAGTGTCTAGCAAGCTCTTTATTTAGCAGTTTTATCCTTGAGACATACACTTGAAAAAATTCTTTTAAAAATAACTCTTCAGCTTGACCTTATGGATCAATAATAACTCTTGTAAATACCAAGAGAACATTTGTTCAATTTGCTATTGTAATGAGTGGAATGTGTGGTTTGTATGGGGCTTTTTTTAAGACTAAAATGTTGGTTTTTAAAAAAAACAAAAAAGCAGTATCACTTTAACTCACTAAAAGAGATGGGGAGACATCCTGTTCAAGGGAAAAAAAAGGTCAAGTTAAAAATCTGTGTTTCTTCTTAACAACAAAAAACGCCTTATCTGTTCTGGGCTTAGCTGTCCCATGTCCCTCACCAGTAAAAAAATCAATCGTTTTTAACCATTTTCAAACTGCACTACACACAAGGAACATCTTACAGCATGAGGTGATGAGATGCAGCTTCTGAACTAGTCTTCCCCCAAAGGTCTCCAGGCTCTGTGGGTTACTTCCTGAACACACATTACATCCATGCACAGACCTGAAAGAACTGACTCACCAGCACCAGCACAGAGTAACTCTGAATCACGTGCACAGCAAGGCCAGCCCTGCTGCACAGGGTAAAGTCACTCTGCCCACATGGACCCAGCCAGACCCTCATGCCATCAGAACAATTCCCAACACTCTTGTTCCAAGACAGGCACAGCTGCTGCTCAGATATGGCAAGAGAAAACAACTAGAAATTTCATTTTTACTTGGCAGCTTTCTGCTGAAATACAACTAACTGGACCTTTAATTCTTCAACACAACCAACCTCTATGTTTTTCAGTCCAAGTTGGTGCACTACAGTTTTAAAAGCTTCTGCACAGGAAGAAACCCAGTAACCTACTCACCTTTTAGTACTGAACAAAGCCAGAGTATTTGCTGATTAAAAGGAAGCAACTGACATCTTTTTCTTATCATTGCAATGTACAGAGTATTTTGGACATATTTGGACTTCCATGGTTTGCACTTCTAGAAAGTTAACTCTGGGCACTACACGTAAATGTTTTGCTTCCTATTTAAATCAGTGATCAGTGCACAAGAAGTTCAAAGAAGCAAACAAAAAAATCCCCCAGCACTTTCTTCATCAGTAACCTGACACATACAGACACCACCTTAGATAAAATTGCATTCAAAATGCATCAACTCTACCTATGCTTGCAGCAAAAGGCACTACAGCTAAGTTACAAGCTCTCTTTTAGAAACTAGGCCAATGTGACAAAACTCTAAGGGATACTCTAACCACAGGCACAAAATTTAACTTGCCAGCAAAGTTCCTGACATGCTACCTTAATTCTGAGAGGCTAATGTGTTACACTAAAGAAAAAAGCTGCTAGGCAACAAGATTTAAGAATCCCTAGAAGTTTCAGCATTTGCAAACACACATTATTAGAACGGCAGTGCAAACTACAGAAAACAAACGACAATGCACGAAACAAAAGAACAAAGAGCTCCAATGAAATTTTGTGCAACAGATGAATGCTGATACAGCTATTAAGCCACCAGTCTCAATCAGACTGCTCCTGTACATCAACATTGATCAGTTTGAAACAATGCACAAAACAAAAGAACAAAGAGCTCAAATGAAATTTTGTGCAACAGATGAATGCTGATACAGCTATTAAGCCACCAGTCTCAATCAGACTGCTCCTGTACATCAACATTGATCAGTTTGACAGCCTTAAATGTCAAAGAGGTTTAACGGGAAAAAAACCCCAACCAACAAAACCAATCCTCACTCTACCTAGGGACTCATTTATTCACTTTTCATTTAAAATGAGGCTTGCATTTACTACAGCTTGGCATCCAATATACTAATGTGTGTAAATAAGAGATTACATCCACTTTAAAGAGTCCTTACCTTCATTGATTTTGGATATATCTACGCTAGAATTATTAAGCTGCAAGGTGGCTTGCAGAGCAGGCAGCAGCTGTCGAAGGAGATTTGGGTCCTGAAGTAATGGAGGAATTGGTGATTGTGGGACAGGTGAAACAGGAACTGTAGGAGCAGATGAAGCAGGCGCAGAAGTTGGATTCAGTCCAGAAGCAGAAGATGTAGAAGGAGTTGTGCAAGAATGGGATACAGACTTGTCCACAGATGCAGACTCTGAACAGAAGACAGACAGTGTTTTCATTTTCCCCAGTATAACCTGACAACTTCTCACTAGTACAACATTCATATTAAATTCAGAAGACCAAATGCCCAACAAATGCCCAGAGAAAAATCACAACATTAATAGAGCAAAAACTGATGGTATTTGGTATCTAGTGCAATGTATGCTATAGAACCTAGTATTTATTAGGTACTCACAAGCAACTTTTCCACTTCAGGATACTGGATGAAAAGCTGCCAATATTGGCTTTTAGAACAAACATGGGCCAAAAATTCCATAGTGACTTTTCTTTTACTGAGCATGTACAGGTATTCTATGTTTTTACTTCTTATTTCAATTGTTCTTTGGAAAACATAATATGAATAAAAATCTTACAGTCCATGGACTTTACACATAAGCTACTATGTCAAATTTGAGGGAGGGTATAAGCCATGCTTCACTGATTAATAGACGAGACTACAAGAAGCTGCAAAATAAAGACTATCATACAAAATCCAAATACATTGCTGAGGATTTAGACAGGATAATTGACTGCACTAGAAATATAAAACAGGAGCTTCTAACATTCCCACAGCAGAGTGGAAAAATATCCAAAAATGTATCTGCCCATAACTGATTTTTAACTTGTCAGCTTCTTCTGAAGCATCAAGACCTATAGCCTTTATTAGTACCAATTTAGCAAATATCACCACTTATTATCCACAGAAATACACACTTTTAAATTCAATTAGAGTGCATGACAATTCATTCTGATTAATATAAGTTATAATTTTAAATTTGACTTCCAGTTAACAGAAAAGCTGCTCCTTCATTCCAGTACTGTAAAATTTCTGCAATGAAAGTATTCCAACCAATTATAGGTGTACCATCAGTCACTTCAAATATCCTTTCTGTAAGAAGTCTGGACCACTGTATTATCAGTCACTTCAAATATCCCTTCTGTAAGAAGTCTGGACCACTGTAT